AACCTAAACTAATGGGTCAATATTCAACTCCATATTAATCACTAAATGGTCCAACTAACCAAATAATCATCCAACCCAAACCCAAGTCATCCAAAAGTGTAGTCCGTCTTCGAGCCGAGCCAAGTTCATGGTGTCGATAAATAATCCGACAACTGTTTTAAATCATCGCCCGAATTATTGGGTATCAAAAAACCCAACACCAATAACCAACACCAAGAGCATGTTTGGCTAAGATTAAAAGTCAAAAATGGTTTCTTTTTGGCATAGTTGGGCTATATAAAGAGTGATACAGTCGGAATTGGCTAGCTTATTCTACAAAAGAAGCAAGGTCATTGATGCTGATGTTGTTCTAGTTACTGTCCTATCTATGAATATTTATCCCAATTTGTAATTTCTTCCATGTCACTATTTCAGCACATGCGGGCATCGACAACCGGGGATTAAAATACACAGTTTTCACTGGAAGGCATCCAATTTTTTATTTGTTTGGTCCACTGGCTTTGTTTCTTCTGTAGCATGTGTTATACTTGTTAAAAACATGTAAAGAAATGTGTGATATTTTTTACCTTTACTGTTTAGGATTCGTTTTACAGCAATGGAACTTGCATTTTCTGAGGAAGTTGACAAATGAGAAGCTTCTCAACTTGCAGTGTGTAACCCATGTTCTGTACTTGTTTATTTGTCTACGTTAACGCTAATATTTGTTTAAATACTCGTAAATAAAGTAAAATGGAAATGATAGAAGCCCCTGTAACGTGAACCTTTGCTGTTAAACATCATAAACAATGAGTTATCAATTACCAGTAACTCATATCCGAACTACAAAACGATGGATTCGAAACTAAGTTTACCTATTTCAATCACTTACCAAATACCAGAAGTAAAAAAGAAATGCATCAAATATCATCTTAAAATTGTATTACAAAATGAAACTAATCATTTTACTATCATTATGTCAACGTAAAATGTTACAATAGTTAGACAGTGAGATCCCAAAATTCTCCAAGGAACACAACTTGTGAGCAAAACCAATAGTTATACGTTCATCATCTTCTTCGCAGTGACAAGCAAAATGGTACAGTCGTGGCTGAACTTGTTCACAGTGGATGACCTTAATTCTGCTAGTGATTTTTCCAGTGATAGCTTCTTGGCTGAACTGATTTTAGTTGATGTCTCGCCTAATGCAAATGAGTTTTCTCGACTCACGCACAAGAATCTTTCACCACAGCAGTTCGTTCTTCAGCAAATCATCCACATCCTCAAAAGCGTATATCCTTTCTTTATAGCCAGTTACAGCAAGCCACTTTTGAAACATTATGGGAGTCATTCATCTAAGAAGACTCTGCCAAGCTAATCGAGATAGAACAGTTGAGAAACTACATTCTCCGTATCATTGGTGAAATACTTTCTTGAACCCAGGTAATTTATTTAAATCAGATAAAGCAGTGTTAAACCTTCGCCATGTGTGCCTCGGCAAGAGAAGAATTAAGGTCTTCCCGAGATTGGGATCTCCTACTTTGTAGACGCATCTGACTTCTGTGGGGGGTCCAGAATCCCGCATTACTACTGTCAAATTGCATCTGTCCTAAGTTGCCAGAAGAAAAACTATGTGATACACTGCTAGATGATGAATAGAAGGAAGATTCAGTGAGCTGGATGCCGCTGCTGCTGAAACCAGGTCTAGTATCAAATGGTCTTCGTTGAGTGTTTGCAACTGTTGGACTTAATGGTGTTTTTACTCTTCCGTCCCCTAAAAAATTATAAAAACGGAATAGTTGAGATGGCATCATTTTATATACAAAACTAAGCCCCCATGTGGTTTAGATGAAAATCAAATTTTTAGTAAATTTTGATAAAGTTGATGAAATGTGTGGTTGAAAAAATGATGAAAGTTGTGGGTCCCATAAAAATATGTAGTTAAAAATGAGTTTGAGCAAAAAGTAAGTTTTAGAAAATGTGGGTCAGATAGGGGCTAAGTTAATCAAGTCCTAAGAAAGTATGGAATTAGGAGCACCTTTTGCTAAGCTTAGATAGTTTACTGATAAGTAATAACTTAGTTTTGAATAAAATAAAATAAGGTACTCAATTTGATGGTAATGTAAGAGTTACTTTAAAAATAGGTGCTATTTTACATAAAAGTAGGAAAAAAGTACCATATCTAAACATGTTTGGAAACAAAAAATTAAAACCTTTACATCTTTTTAAGCTTAGCTAAATATGCTCTATGTTCGGGAAGAGGAATTACCTGTATTTATAGGACTCCAATGCTGAAACTGGAAAGGAGATGAAATATTGAGAACTGATGAAGATGCCCCACTGCTAGGCCGAAAAAGTGGGAGATATGGCCTTCGAAAGAACTTTACCACCCCATTGCCAACGCAAGACAATGCACAGACAAGGACAAACAATGAAGCAAATAAAATGGCAAAGAGAAGAACTGGATTAATCTTCATCTGGAATATGTTGTACCTGCGAAATTCTATCCTGTTTGGAAATGCCTTTCCGGCTTCCAACAAAGCAACCCCGAGAGTCCAAGTAATACTTCCAGAACCAATAATTACCTCTCTATCAGTAATGTGCAATCCTTCTCTCAGTAGGAGCACAACATACGGTGCCCTGAAGCAGTACTGTTCTATAAAAGGCTGAGGTGCAACACTTTTTTTCGCAACATCCCATGTTTTTTCACAAAATTCCTGACCCTTCTCTAAAACATCGTCCAGTGCAGCATCAGGAGTCAAGTTGAAAAAACGATACACAACATAGAAACCAGACATAGCATAGAATTGTCCAAAAGGACGAGGCAGATTTTCTGCTAGTGCACATGGCTGCAACTCACAATCAATTCCTGGACTATGATCCGACCATTCAGACAGATTAACAGCTACTTTTGCTAGTGCATTACATTCTTGCCAATTTGGAGTCCCAACAAGCTGAACCGGAACCACAGCTTTTGCTCCTTTACCCGATATTTCTCCTCGAGTAGGACTTACACCTTCTTCATGGACAAAAGCACAATGTGAACACATGTATTGCTCTTTGAAACCATTCTGCAAACATGGATGCTTAATTTCAATATTTTCACTAACTAGATCTGCATTAGTTTTGTGAGGATGCATCTTCAATAGATGAGCAACAGATTTGTCAAATGCATCATTAAGCCCATATCCTGATAGAGAATAGGCAGTGAGATGATGGTTAACTGGGCCGATTCTCAACTTTAAGCTAGTTTCATCATGGGCAGCTTGTTTGCCCTCAAAAGTAACCTGCAATGACGAACCACCCAGGTCAAGTGCACCAAATGTTTCTTTTTTGGGTGTAGCCCCCAACACATGCATGTGATAATTTAAAGCAATCCATCCATAATAAGCTTCCTCCACGCCTGATATAATCTTAACCCACTCTCTCTTGCATAAGAAAGGTGAACTCTTCAGTATTAACAAGGCATTATTAAGAAGCCATTCTGAGTCTGAACTTGGCAGCCGACGAACTCCAGCTGTAGCATAAAGGAAGAGGGAAGTAGTCTTATGTGATTTCTTAGGAATTTGTCTCTCGGCCCATCGAACGAGTGGTTTTATTGCCTCCCTCAGCCCAGACATGTTATGCACCAACTTGTCAAACCCAGGCTCAGTTTCCATTCTGTTGTAAGCCCGTCCACTCAGGGAACCAGATTTTCTGTGGAAATCTTCGGGCAATGATTTTAATAAGATCGGAAGATTGTCATCTTTGTTATGATTAACAGAAGCCTTATATAAGTAAACACGGGTCCCGGTGCTTCCACAATCAAGCACTACATAGAACTTTGACGGAACTTGAGACCAGTTAGAATACAGAAATTGTACTGCAAAAGACAGACAAGCAAATAATAATAAACAGAGAAGAACACAGATAACTCGAATCCAGTTCTTTCGCCTAGAAGGAATGACTGATGATGCCTTCTCCTTAGAAAAGCTCAATCCGCCATTTTCATTCTGCAAAGTATTTGGAGGTATTGCGTGACTTGAACTCCTCTCTATTCCAGGGTTAAGGTCACCTGCTTCTGGATCGAGTCGACGATAAGTAGACAAATCTTGAAGGGATGAGGAGAGTCTCAAACTATTCTTGTTCTCTGGGCTGGAAAGGTTATAACCACAAGGGGAACCTCGAACAGGAAGAAATCCAGGCAATTTATACGAAAGAACAGAAGACTTTGGCACTGACAATCGAGCTGTTGCAGAAGAAACAATTTCTGCTAATTTACTGAATACCATGTTTGCAGAAACTTACATCTGGAGCAGTAAATAATAGTTCTTCCCAGTAATTTTCACCCCTTAAAGCTATCACTGGAATAGAAATTGATGTGCTAGTTTTGAAAGCATTATGCGCAAAAAGCCAAAAAATCTAGTCGCAGTGACAAAAATGACTCCTGCAAAATTAGCACGATAAGATTAACCACATAATGTAATAAAAATTTTGTGAGAAAATGAATCAATCGCTGATAGCACAAATTATAGCCACTGCTACATGGGAAATAATAAAAAATGAATTTTCTTCCGCAGAGACACGAGAAGAAAATAAACAGCCACTGCTAGTCGATGAAAGAACAGTGAAGCTTTACCGATCAGAAACCACATAATGTAGTTAACCATGAATAGAATACAGACATTTCTGATCAATCACAGACATCTTGTGAAGAGGTTAACTTTTGGCCATTTTTGAAGTTGACAGAGATCTTTGGGTCCCACCTCCATTAGGTCTTAGTCAAAGTATTTCAACACACTCAATGAAGTACATATAAATGTGTGGTGGTTGGCAAAAATGTTTGAACTTAGTGGTATTTCAAAGAAGAAAACTCTTCTGTAATCAAAATAACTTCAGCACAAGCATAACTACTAAAGCTAGTAGTTTCTATTACAAGTTATTTGTTTATCTCATTATAGTTGATGGCGTGAAAAGATCCTTAGTTTGAGATAAGAATACCATTATTAATTACTATTCTATAAAACATAGTTGTATCGACAATCATATAGAAAATAGTAATATTCAGTGTCACTCTCAAGCAAATAAGTAACAACAGATATTTTCTTGAATTCTAATAATGATTGAAAAGAATTCAGTATCTATTTTTGGTACTTTAACGGTTGGTTTGATGGTTTCTATAGACTGAGAATTGCAGATAAGCCCTGACTCTTCTCCAAACTCCAAAGGACCATGTGAATCCTATCAAACTTCTACTGCACTATTCAGTGTCTAAGTATCTCCCATCAAATCTCAAAGCCATACAATAGGGCTTTGAGTTTCATTCTGCTCAAAAATTAGGGAAGTAACAAAAAATGAACAACTACCAAATCGATGGACTTGGATATCTCTATCAAATCAATCACGATACAATCACCAACCAAGAGAGAGAGAGAGAGAGAGAGAGAGAGAGAGAGAGAGAGAGAGAGAGAGAGATTTTAAATCATCACTCTCACTGTTAAGGGCTCACTCGCTCTAATGATGATAAAGCCAGAGTTCATCTGCTTTAGTCCATAGAATAGCTCAAGAAAAGAAGATTTGGATGCCATAGAAAATAGAATCTTCAATCCCAATTAGGGTTGGAAGTAGTTATGCCATCAGTATTTAAAGACAATCAACTAGTAAGACGCGATTAAACAAACAATTTTCTTCTCTAGAATTCAGGATTAACCGCCTCAGTCTAAATACATCAACACTCGAAGATAATAACTCATACTAATATCTGGAAAAAAATATCCCGTTTCAATTTAAAACATTGATAAAGCATTTCATGGTAGACTTGGCAATTTATAATTCAAAACCAGACTCGGAATTCTATAAATTAAAACAGGAAAATTAAACTGCAACCAAGAGGTGTACAAAATGGGAAGTTAGCTTTCAGCTCCAGTTAGTTAGTTATTTAATATTCCAAGTAGTTAGTTTGTTAAATAGTTTGATGAGTTGTCAATTTTCTATTGGTTTTAGCTGTAGTTTAGCTGTATTTTCAGTTTTGCATCTTGTATATAAATAGTGTAAATTCAAAGGTTGAACAAGCGAGATACATATATGAATTTTCTCTCCTTCATGTATTTTCAGTTTTGCATCTTGTATATAAATAGTGTAAATTCAAAGGTTGAACAAGCGAGATACATATATGAATTTTCTCTCCTTCATGTTTTTCTCTCTGCCTTGATATTGTATATGGTATCAGAGCAAGATCCAAAACAAAATATTTTAGCTAATCAGTTAATCCTGATAAGAAATGGCTGATGATGGATTGTCAGGAACAAGATCCATACCAGTACGTGTTACTGGAGAAGAAGGAACGGGAAGTGCTTCGAAGGAGACCTCTACTTACAACAATGGAGATCCTCTTTTCTTACAAGCATCTGACCATCCTGGAATGATGCTAGTCACAGCACCATTAACAGGACAGAATTTTCTTACCTGGAGCAAATCGATGAAGATTGCTCTAGAGGCGAAGGTAAAACTTGATTTCATTACTGGAGATTGCAGAAAACCTGAAAAAAATTCGATTGAATATGCTCAATGGAGAAGAGTAGATTGCATGGTGATCTCATGGATATTAAATTCAATGGCGAAAGAAATTGCAGAATCATTTCTCTATGCTGGATCTGCTAGAGAATTATGGAAGGAAATTGAAGAACATTATGGTGAGAGCAATGGTCCTATGATTTATCACATTCAACGTGAGATCAGCTCAATTCATCAAGGAAATCTGAGTATAATGCAGTATTACTCAAAATTGAAGAAATTCTGGGATGAGTTGAATGCCCTAGATCCTATACCACAATGTACATGTGAACAATGTACTTGTGGTGCGACAAAAAAATGACTGATAGAGAAGCTTCAAACAAATTGATGCAATTTTTGATGGGGCTAAATGAGTCCTATGATAATTTGAAGAATCATATCCTATCTATGGACCCATGGCCTACGGTGAATAGAACCTATTCAATGATGATACAAGTGGAGAAACAAAGACAGGTACAGATGGTGTATTCAGAGGGCAGTGAAACTAATGCACTATTTACAAGGATGACACAAGCAAACAGCAGAAGAGGAGGAACATCAGTTAGAATTGGAACTGGAAGAGGAAATTTCAAGAGATCTGAGAACTGGAGAAAGGGAAAGGAAAATCAGTTTTGTAGTCACTGCAACAGATCTGGTCATGATAGAGAGAGCTGCTTCAGACTTAATGGATATCCGGATTGGTTCAAGGGGTTGAAGGATCAGAGACGGGGACAAGATATGAGTAGAATTACAGCTGTTAATTCAACGGAAACTCCTTTGGATGTGGATACAGAACAAGTAGAAAGTAAGAGTAATGAAGTACAGATCAATCTATCCAACATGATCCAACAAGAATTGATGAAGTTAATGAAGGGAAAGTTGAATATGGGAGACAACCATATTAATTTTGCGAATCTGGAAGATTTTGCAGGTAAGATTCATGCCTTAACTTTTAAACTGAGCACAGCTGATTTATTTGATGATGACTTCTGGATAGTTGACACTGGCGCCTCCAACCATATGTGTAAAGAACTGAAATCATACCAGAAAACTAAGCCTACATCCATAAAACTTCCTGTCCACTTACCTGATGGTAGCATAAAATATGTTACAACATCAGGAGACATTCAGCTCCACCCAACTTTAACCATAAAAAATGTTCTATACTTACCAAGCTTCAAATACAACTTACTGTCTGTAAGTAAACTAGCCAAAATAAACAACATCAACTGTAATTTTTATGCATCTCACTGTCTGTTGCAGGACCAGAAGACTGAGAAAGTTATAGCTGTTGGTCGAATGATAGGCACCCTTTACATTCTTGATAAATCCAGTTTCTTACCTGAACTTTTAGCTAAATGTAATAAAAGTTCTATTTCCTGTAATAGTTCCAGTATTTTTGATTCCTTTGTTAACAACATTGATGTGTCATCATGTGTAATATGGCACAAAAGACTTGGCCACACATCTGCTACTGTTTTGAAACACATCAAAGCTTGTAATAATCATGATTTCTTTGACATATCACCTTGTGATATCTGTGCTAAGTCCAAGCAACAACGTTTACCTTTTCCCTTGAGTGAATCTTGTTCAAATAAACCTTTTGATTTGTTACACATTGACTTGTGGGGTCCCTATAAACAGCCATCATTAACTGGTGCTCAATACATGGTAACCATTGTTGATGATCACTCTAGAGCAACCTGGACATTTCTCATTGCCCACAAATCCCAAACCATTACCATTGTTGACAAATTTCTAAGGATGATAGAAAATCAGTTTGATAGAAAAATCAAAACAATAAGGTCTGATAATGGCACAGAATTCTTGAATAAAGACTTTAAAAGTCTCTTAGAAAGTAAGGGAATCATCCACCAGAGAAGTTGTGTCTATTCTCCACAACAAAATGGAAGAGTAGAAAGAAAACACAAACATTTGTTGCAAATAGCCAGATCTCTTTTATTCCAAGCAAACTTACCAAAAAAATTCTGGGGACACGCCATTTTAATGGCAACTTACATCCTAAACAGACTTCCTACTCCAATATTAAAGTGGAAAACACCTTTTGAGCTACTTTACCAAAAATTACCTTCATATGAACATATCAAATGCTTTGGGTGCCTTTGCTATGCCACGAACACCAAACCTCACAAGGACAAATTTGAACCAAGAGCCTCTAAATGTATCTTCATTGGCTTTGAACCAGGGCAGAAGGCATACAAATTGTATGACCTTATAGATCACAAGATTTATACATCTAGAGATGTTATCTTTTATGAAAATCACTTTCCTTTCTGCAAAACTGATCAGTCAGTCAATGAAGTCCCATTACCCTATTCTTTTCCAGATTTTCATGGTCCTAACTCCCCATCCAAACACATTTCCCCATCTCAATCCAATACATCACCAATATCAGACCAAAATAACCTTCCTGATCCCATTCATGATCTTCCAGCAATATCAGAATCTAATCCATCAATAACACAATCCCCTATTTCTCCTCCATCTGATCCTGCACCTATAAGACAGAGTACTAGACTGAAATCCACACCAACCTGGCTCAAAGACTTTGTTACCAATTGTTCAAATGATGGTTTCACTTCTAAATCTGCCACCTACAAGCAACCTTCGATATACACACCTACTACTTTCCCTTACATCACTAACCCTGCACTTTCCTCAGATTATATTACTTTTCTAGGCCAAGTGTCAACTGTACAGGAACCAAAATCATATGAGGAAGCTAGTGCACAGCAAGAATGGGTTATTGCAATGGAAAAAGAGTTGGAAGCTCTAGAAACAAATCAGACATGGGAAGTGATGCCATTACCTGCTGGGAAGAAACCAATTGGATGTAAATGGGTTTACAAAGTTAAAGTAAATCCCAATGGAACTATAGAAAGACATAAAGCCCGGTTAGTGGCTAAGGGGTATCACCAAAAGGAAGGAGTCGATTATTCAGAAAGCTTTTCTCCAGTAGCTAAAATTGTGACTGTTAGGCTGTTCATTGCATTTGCTACTATGAATTCTTGGCCTATTCATCAACTTGATATAAACAATGCATTTTTACATGGTTTTATTGATGAAGAAGTCTATTTGATTCCCCCAGAAGGATATTCAAAGGCGGAAAATGGAGAAGTGTGTAAACTAAGGAAGTCCTTATACGGACTTAAACAGGCATCGCGACAATGGAACTCGGAATTTTGTTCCAAAATAAAACATTTTGGTTTTCATCAATCCTCACATGATCATTGCCTATTCATTCATAAAAAGGATACTTTGTTTCTTGCTTTAATAGTGTATGTAGATGATGTTTTGGTGACTGGAAATGATGAAAATGGGATAAGAGCAGTTAAAGAATATCTTGATTGAACGTTCACCATTAAGGATTTGGATATAGCCAAATACTTGGTATTGAAATTGCAAGAAGTACAAAAGGGACATACTTGAATCAACGCAAATACACATTGGACTTGATTAAAGATGCAGGTTTGATGGGTGCTAAACCTGCCCCTACACCAATACCAAAAGGAACAAAATTTTCAGAATCAGCCGGACCCTTGCTCTCTCATCCTGATAAGTACAGGCGATTAGTGGGAAGACTCCTTTACCTCAACTTTACAAGACCGGATATTACTTATTGTGTTCAACAGTTAAGTCAATATGTTAATGCTCCTTGTGAGCAACATTGGTCAGCAGCAATGTATCTTCTTCGATACTTGAAGGGCAGTCCTTCGAAAGGACTATTTTATCCAGTGAAAAATGAAATGAAGCTTGAAGCCTATTGTGATGCCGACTGGGCAGCCTGCTTAACCACTCGTAGATCACTCACAGGTTATTGTGTATTTCTTGGATCAGCATTAATCTCCTGGAAGACAAAAAAGCAAACTACACTGTCACGTTCATCAGCAGAGGCTGAATATAGAAGCCTAGCATTAGTTGTCTGTGAACTTCAATGGTGTTCCTATATCCTTCGAGGTTTCCATCTTTCAATTCCGTTTCCTGTTAACCTATGGTGTGATAATCAAGCTGCTTTGCACATTGTTAAGAACCCCGTCTTCCACGAGCGTACAAAACACTTAGAGATCGACTGCCATCTAGTTCGTGATCAGTACAAGGCCGGTTTCATTCTTCCACAACACGTCTCCACTCATCGACAACTTGCGGATATTTTCACAAAAGCCTTGGCCAGCCCCCAGTTTTTTAAGCTTCTGTCCAAGTTGGGCATGATTGATTTACATGCTCCACCTTGAGGAGGGGATGTACAAAATGGGAAGTTAGCTTTCAGCTCCAGTTAGTTAGTTATTTAATATTCCAAGTAGTTAGTTTGTTAAATAGTTTGATGAGTTGTCAATTTTCTATTGGTTTTAGCTGTAGTTTAGCTGTATTTTCAGTTTTGCATCTTGTATATAAATAGTGTAAATTCAAAGGTTGAACAAGCGAGATACATATATGAATTTTCTCTCCTTCATGTTTTTCTCTCTGCCTTGATATTGTATAAGAGGATTATTTCCCAATCGTATAATTACTCTGGCAGCAGAGACAGCCAGACGGCACATTTTATTCTCACCCATAATTCGATCCAGAATTGTACTCATCAAGATAACATTTTTCACTGTAATTTCTATTCCCATTAAGATTTGCCCTCAATTTCATCTTCGCAATCGCGTTTTTCACATTCAAAACAAAAAATTTAAAAAATCTCCACATTTTTCTCTTAAACGCATTCATATTTTTTTTCCCAGCAAAGATCAGATAAACAGCAAAATATCCAGTGTATACGAACCCAAATTTGCAGATCTCTAAATCATCAACCCACCGAACATTCCAGAAAATTCATCCACACAAATGAAAAATCCAAAGATCAAACAATTAAACACTGATAGATTCATAAAAACAAAATTACGCATCTGGACAAATAATTTTTACTTACCGACAGATCGTGGGAAGTGAGAACGAGTCGAAAACCTATCTTGTTCGGAGACTCATACTACTGCCCAAGATCGCGATTTGCTCTCTCTCCTCCGAGAGGGGTTTGAAGTTTTCGCACTGACGCAAAGTTTAAACATTTCTCCTCCTCGTTTATAATTTTTTACTCAAAGCATGTTTGGTCAATTCACTTTTATAAGTAGAAAGGTCTTGTATTGTTAACCATTTTTTTTTTCCCTTACCTATTTTTAATCATATATTTTTACAATAAAAAAAA